AAAGACTAACTGAAGCGTTAACACTGTAGTGACGGCCCTAATGACTGTAAAAGTCATCATTCAATTTATCAAGAGGTGATACATTGAAGAAAAATTTTACGTCTAATCTAACAAGTCCCTGTTGGTAGTTATGAATTTGTAATTTAGTAGAGACCGAAAGACATAAGAAAAAAAAAATTACAATACTTGCAAATACATTAACATAAACGGTAGTTTCCATTATAAATTAATGGCAGGTCAAAAGCTTGAATCGAGTCTCAAGAATAGAAATACAGACGGAAAATGATCTAAGCCACTTACCTAAAAATGAGAACAAAATAATGTTATTTAGCAATCGAATTGCGAGGCGTTTTCATTAAAAACGACGAAAATGATATACATTTATCAACTAATTGAAGTTTACAATCTAAAATGAATCTTTCACAATTAATCGTAAATTTGTAAATATTCGCAGACTGTAAGTGTCAATCGAATGAAATATAATTTTATTATCCTAGGCTAATAAAAAAAAAGAAAAATGTGTGAGTTCTCTGAAGAATTGAATAAGCTCAATAGGATTTCTGTTGATTGTCTGCACCGAATGCATTCGTTAGGTATCACCTGTTGATCGCGTCAGGTGTTGTGCATGTTATCTGTTTCTCAATGATGGACTGCAATTCATTGAATGAACATCACTCGGTGACATAGTTGACAAGCATAAATCTTAATAGAAACATAAAGAGGTCGAATAAAAATCTCAGCATTGCTCTTTAAAGCCATCGTTGAGTACTTGCTGTGTTACACACAGACACATACACTCAGATAGTTCAAGATGTACATATGAATGGCATTGAGCGGAAAGTAAAAGCGAAACAAAAACCGATCAGCTATGGAATGTTATGGCCAAATGCATACAAATTATTTATAGTTAATTTTAAATGAGTTAAATTTTGTGCGTGTGAGATTCCTTTAGAACTGAAAAAGAAAGACGAAATGTAAACAGGATCGGTCAGTCACACACAGTTCCTTTGGGAAAAATATGTTATCATGTATATCTCTCTATTTCTCTTTCACTTCTTTTCTCTTTCACATGCTCTCTTATACGGGTATGCTTATATATCTTGCTTAGAGAGGGAGAGGGAGAGGGAGAGGGAGAGGGAGAGGGAGAGGAGGGGGAGAGGGAGATGGAGAGGGAGAGGGAGAGGGAGAGGGAGAGGGAGAGGGAGAGGGAGAGGGAGCATGAACTCCCTATAATTAAAATATTACTGTATAATCTGATTGATTAACGAAAATAAAAATGCATTTCTGTTTTGTTTATAGTCGGGAAAAACCATTTACCAAAAAACCCGACTGTCTTTATTTGACTCTTTCTTACTACTGACTCACTCTTAAACACAAGTAATGACTTTTCATTTTCAACTCGACCGTCAGAGTCATCTGACTTTCGATACAATTATATAATACTTTGTCGCGAAAAAAGAGTTCTTTTTTTCCTTGGAATTTTTCATAAACATATTTTCTTTCGTTCGTTTTTTTCTTCGATCAAATTGTTATCATTTTATCGTGAAAGACCTCTTGCTGAAATTCCCATTGAAAAGCGAAGCACACAGGTGCTTTGTGCCACAAACGTTGGCCAATGTATGTATGGGTATAGTAGCTCAACGAGTTAAATAAAATACTTGTTAGGTGTTTATTATTTTGTTCGGTTTTTTTCTGTGCTTTCATTTCGATTACTCCACCCTCTGCAGTGTTTTATTTAGATAAATGAAATTTCTGCATCGATCGAATTGTTACACGTTTAAGTACAAACCAAACAAAACACCGACCGTTCAATATTGTTTATTACACCAGTCATTCATCATTACTTTATACGCTATGTGCATTGTGCATATATGCCGATGTACAATGTAAACAGAGAGCGAGTGGGTTTTGATATCAATCGAATTGAGTTATAAAATTACATGCATATATAAAAAAAGAGGCGACTGAGTAAATGACAAAACGATACTGCATGCCGGCATTTATCATCCACCACCCGCCTGTCCAGCCCCAGCATTTGGTATTATTTGTTGATAGCTGGTTTGATGGCCCAAAGTTCAAATCCGGTGGATTTGAGCTCATCCATGGGTTCTCGGGATTTGGCCTGATCCCAGCACTTGCCCTGTGGTGAAATTCCATACAAAACATGAGTGTGACTTGTAAAGATGCTCACAGGAAAGGAAAAGCTGGGAATCAGACCAAATCCTGAGAGCCCATTGATCAGCCCGAATCCACTGGATTCGAGCTTTGGGCCATCAAACCAGCCGGGTGTCTACACTCCCTTTAGGGAGTGACACCACGGTCCATTTTGCCGATTTTCCCAGCCGTTTTTGAGATATTTCGATGTGTAAATATTTATTGGTTTTAATTTACCACTTAAGAGGTGAGTTTGGATAAATTAGCAGAAAAGTGTATTAAAGTTCGAAATATTCCATCATTCTAAGATATTTTCACTAGAGGCGCTCTTACAAAAATCCATCCATTCAGCCTCCATAAGAAGCAATGTATTGCTATCGGATTATGCTGCTCGATGCAATGTGCTTTGTTTTAGTTTTCATTGTAATTTTCAGCTTCCTATTATTTGACACGGGTAAATTGTTGATTTGTGCATGTAAGGTCAAAATTGTATGCTATTCATTTGAAATGGTTTCAGGTTCTTCTGGTAATAAAGTGGGTTTATATGTTACACAGTCGACATCTCTGATGCAGTGGGGAATCAGGCATTCGTGCGAAGTTGCAAATCAACTGATATCTGTCGACCGAATTATTGAATATACCGACTTAGAATCCGAAAGACAGCTAAAAAAAACAAAATCACAAATGACCCAATCTTGGCCTAGCGATGGTCGTATCGAATTTCGCAATGTCACATACAAATACGCATATGAAATCGAACCGGTGTTGCATCAGATTTCCTTCAAAGTGTTGCCAAGAAATAAAATATGTGTCGTGGGTCGCACCGGTGCAGGAAAGAGTTCAATCATTGGGGCTTTATTCAGAATGGCCCATGTAAAAGTTTTAATTGAAATAGATGGAGTAGACACATCAACAATCGAACTAAATTTGCTTCGATCGAAAATTTCAATTATTCCACAACAGCCATTCCTTTTCTCCGGCACATTAAGACAGTAAAACCACATAAAGACATGTTTAAGCTCACGATGCGACATTGATTTCGATTCTATTCCCACAGAAATCAGGATCCATTCAACCAATACACCGATGATGAAATCTATAATGCCTTGGATGATATCAAAATGCGGCACATTGTCAGCGGTAACCAAGGTCCCGATCTAACTGTTCTAGCAAACGGCGGAAATTTTAGCAACGGTCAACGACAAATATTGTGCTTAGCCCGAGCCATTTTAAAGAAAAATACAATTTTAGTTCTTGATGAAGCTACAGCGAATGTGAATGCACAGTAAGTATTATTATTTGTGAAAGTATGATGATTCGAAATACAATTATTCTCGTTATCTTGGTACAGGACCGATGAAATAATTCAACAGACAATTCGATCAAAATTTGCTAATTGTACGGTTTTCGCGATAGCTCATAGATTGAATACAATAATTGACTATAATCGAGGGCTTGTCATAGATGGCGGGAGATCTGTTGAATACGACACTCCATACAATTTACTCACTAAGCCCACAGGATATTTCAATGAAATGGTCCAAGCACTTGGACATAAGGAGTTTGATCGGTTTTTAGAAATTGCCAAATCGAGAAACGCCTTTGAAGTAATCAACTCATAGGAACCAACACCAATTTTAGGCTCCTTTTGATTTAAATTATAAACATAAACAGTGAAAATAATGAATCAAATAAACAAAAATTTTCAGCAGGAAGTTTCATTGATAGATTTTAATGTTGAAGACTTTCGTATCTCTACAACTGAAACGTTTATCTTCTTGTTCAATTTGTGACATGAATGAAGAAAAATAAAAATGTATGTATATAGCAAGTTTTTTTGTATTTAATATCGAGAAAAAAATATACAAAACTATTGTTCCACTATGTATATGGTCGTTTCGGATGAGCATGCCAATTAAACGTGCAATCAGCTGATGTTTGCTTTATTTCGATGAGGAATGAATTCAAATACATCGAAAAGGAAAGCAGCACGTACTCGTGGGATAACATCTGTTTTGTCTGTGAATTCCTTGGAACAACACATACAACAACTGAGCTCAAAACACATGTAAGAATGACACATGCAGACATGTATTGGTTTTGTTATTTGCCGCTTTCCTCGTGCCGTAGAAGCCAGAGTGAGATAAATGTATGTGTCACACAAGAAAACGTGTGTATGGTTCTATCAAACCGTATATATTTCAGTTTAGCACTGACATTTGCCGAAATTGGTTAAACAGAAGATCGCTCGTCGCAGTGACTTTAATCTTACTTCAAATTTGGTCTTTTATTCGTTTTTTATCGTCTTCAATTTATTTACTTTCGTAAGTGATTAAATTATTATCATTGCATTGATCTACTTACAAAAGCATTTTGTGAAATCATTTCGTTTTGAATGATTTTTTGTGTATACGCGATTGAAACATTGTAATAAATGAAATTGAATGAGTGTGGATTATTTGATTGAATTTTTAATTGTAAATTATGGAATTATCATTATTTAAAACATTCGATATTTCTACGGGAAAGAACACAATTTTCTTTGTTAGACTGAACAAATAATCGAAAGTAATTCAATTAAACAATGACATATTTTATTATGATATATTAATAGATAAGTGAACAAGTTTATACAGCTTCTTGAATAAGATTTAAATGTGCAATACGTTATTGGCAAGTCAACAGATCATTAGAGAAATTTCGGGGATAGACACGCAGTTGCAATATAACTGCTGACACGAGTGATTGTAATTATACAAATCGTCTCTCACACACTCTCGGTCAATCCTCAGCACGTTATTCACATTTATTCATGTTTAAGCGAACATGTGTCTCGAAATTTGAAACTAGTTTGAACTTTAAACATTGCTTTGGGTACTATAAAGTAAAACAATATAAACAAATAACGTAGATTTTTATCATTCAGGATAGCAGATAAAAGCTTGGCTTGAATAAAAAAAAAAACAGAGAGAAAGATTCGTTATACATTTTGCATTAATTTTTGAAGATTATGTGTAACTTCAATAGTAGATGTTTCATTCATTTTCACTTGAAAACAAAATGTTTACAAATACATGTGTCAAGAAATGATTGTGAGTTCAATATAACTTCTTCATTGAAATAAAATTCATGAGCGAAACTGTATAAAAAATGTGAAATAATCAGTAGCTATCTTATCGATTGGAAACGAATCTTATCACTACCATTTAAAAATGTGTTGTAGTTTTGTGTTGTCAGCAGATTGTATATCTGCTTGTCTTTCTGTCTGTTTTATATATAACGATTGACAATCAATTAATGATTTTTTTGGTGATTTCAGTTGTAATCGTTGCTTAGCATGGAAATGAATTTGAGTAAGTTGTAAGTGATAAATGCAAAAAATGGAATCTGGTCGAAGAAAATTGCAAGAAAATCCACGACAATCGGCCGGTTTGCTTTCAATAATATTTTTCGGTTGGTCAATACCACTCTTCAAGAGAACATATGATAAATCATTAGACGCGTGTGATGCAAGTGAACCACTCATCGGAGATCGTTCCAGCGTACTTGGAGACCGAATTGAAAGGTATGAGGTGAAATTCAAGTCAGTTGAAAGGAAATTGATGATTATTGGAAAATAAACGCATTTAATTTACTCATGTTTAGAGCATGGCGAGACGAATGTAAGAATAAAACAAAGCCATCATTAGTACGAGCAGTTGTGAAGGCATTCCGGTTTGAATGTATTATCATGGGAATTTTATGTTTTTTAAATGATGCTGTCGTTCGATTAATTCTTCCATTTTTATTAGAACATCTTTTGTCATACTTTCGGTAAGCTTTTGAAATGGAATCTTTTTAAATATAAATTATCGCATTGTTTTTTTTCTTTTTCAACAGGAAAAACTCGGACATGTCTCAAAATGAGGCCCTCAAATATGGCACAACTATTTTCATCATCACAGTTGTAGCGGGAATAATTATGCTTCATTATTTCTTTTTGGGTTTTTGCTATGGAATGCGAGTAAGAGTTGCAATGTGCAGCCTTATCTACCGCAAAGTAATTTACTTAGATGTCACCTATCTATATCACAATGTAAATTTTGATGTTTTTCTATTTAGTCCCTCCTGTTATCACAACGTGCCTTGAGTGACACAAATCCCGGAAAACTAGTCAACCTATTATCGAATGATGTGAGTCGGTTTGACATAGTGTCAGGTAATCTAATTGAATAGAATTCAAAACATGCATATATTGTTTGTTCTTAATTTTTGGTACATTTCTATTTAATCTCTCAGTTGTACTTCATTCACTTTGGGTATCACCGATATTTACTGTTGCCGCTACGTACATCTTATGGTAAGTTTTCGAAATGGACTCTCTTCTTTGAATACAAATTATCGCATCGTTTTCAATAGGAAGGAGATCCGTTGGGCGGGCCTCATTGGGATTGTATGCGTTTTCCTCATTGTGCCGATTCAGAGTAACTTCTGTTGTAATTCATTTGGTCTCTTGTACATATAACCTATGGTCTTACTTTGTGATCAACAGGTTATGCTGGGAAACTGTCGGCTGTCATTCGTTTCAAGACAGCATTGAGAACCGACGAACGAGTACGATTCATGGATGAGATCATTTCTGGCGTACAAGTTATCAAAATGTATAACTGGCAGAGGCCATTTACAAAACTAATTTCAACGGCACGTTGCACAGAACTGAAAATGGTCTTGAAAAACGCTTATGTGCGAGCGTTATACATGACATTCAACATATTTACCACTCGGATGGCTCTCTTCTGCACTGTTTTATCGGTCGTTTTAATGTATGGCCGCGAAAAAATTTCGGTTTCACAAATTTTCATGATATCATATTTGTTCAGTTCAATTTCACATTCAATGTGTCAACTATTTGTTCGAGGTCTTGCCGAAATGGGTGAAGCACTTGTATCTTTCAAACGCTTGCAAATGTTTCTGGAGTATGAAGAAAAAGACCAAGTTGATGCAATCAGTTCAGAACTCATTGACAAAGACCAATTGCAGACTAGAAACATTGCGATTTTGATGAAAAATCTGTCAGCTGGATGGGTGGACGATAAATGTCACTCGAAAATCAGCAGAAAAGTTGGTTCATACAAAAGTGTCACCCAAACAAAGCCAATCGAATTCAAACCATTCAAACTTCAAAACATTGACTTGGAAATACAAAGAGGCAAGATAATCTTTGTTATCGGTTCTGTTGGAGCCGGAAAATCCACTCTCTGTTCAGTGCTGTTGAAAGAGCTACCACTGATTTGCGGTACGATGGAAATAAATGGTCGCGTTTCGTATGCGACACAAGACAGTTGGATTTTCAATTCAAGTATACAACAAAATATTTTGTTTGGTCAACCGATGAACCGAACTCGGTATAATGAGGTAGTCCGATGTACAGCCTTGGCGAAAGATTTCAGTCAGTTGGGTGCAGGCGATATGACAATAGTCGGTGAAAATGGGACGGGACTGTCAGGTGGACAAAAAGCAAGAATAAATTTTGCCCGTGCGCTATATAGAAAGGCTGATATTTATTTAATAGATGATCCGCTGAGCGCAGTCGATACGCATGTACAATCACACTTATTCCACAATTGTATTGGACCGAAAAGTTTTCTGGCACGTGAAAATGCTACCAGAATTCTGATCACACATCAAGTGCATTTTTTGAACGAGGCTGATTGGATTATAGTTCTGAAAAATGTAATCATTTCAAGCAAACATACGAAGTTTGTATGATATTAAGCAGATTTTTAAGAGTTGTTTTTTTCTAGGGTAAATTGGAAAGAATGTGCAATTATGATGATATTTTGAACAGTGGAATAGATTTTGCTTGCATAGTGAATAAGACGGAGGAAAAGAATGAGGAAAACTACACCGAAGGAGATGGAGTAGCGAGAATACCACGGCCAGATTCCGATTCAACACTGGCAAATAGTATGACCTCAAAAGTGTCATTGAACAGTGAAAAAAGCCACACGGAAGAAATTCGAAATAAACCTTCATCAGATGAAGAAAATCAATTGCTGAACAATCTAGAAGCATCATCCAGGAAGATTAAAGGATCTCCAATTATAAACTATTTGAAATCATCGAACCAAACGTATACTCTGGTATTTTTGGTCATATCATTTCTGCTCGTTCAAACCCTGGCATCCTTTGTTGATATTTTCGTATCGTATTGGTGATTAACATATTAACTTTCATGATTTTCTTTTTTGTACTTCTCGTTCATACAGTATATATTTTTCGATTTTTTAGGATACGTATAGAAGAAAATCGTACATTTGAATCAAAACTTAAGCGCCTTTCAAACGAATCGATGATATCCCAAAATGTCACCACGTCAGATTCTACATCAAACACATGGTCAACCGAAACTTATGCTTATGCATATGGAGGAATTATGACGTCATTATTCATAATCGCTTTGACACGTTCAGTTACTTTTTTTCGATATTGTAAGATATATTGCTTTTTCATATTGTTTTTTTTTTTCAAGAATAATTTCCGGAAAATACAATTCCTCATGGATCTATGTTCTAAAGGTGCGATACTTTCGCAAAATTTACATGACGAAATGTTTCGCGGCCTCATTTCAACGCCGATGCGATTTTTTGACGTGAATCCATCAGGTCGAATCTTGAATCGTTTTTCAAAAGACATGGGAAGCACGGACGAAGCTCTACCGAAATCACTTTTAGATGCAGCCCAAATCAATTTGTCCATGATCGGTGCAATTTTGATAACCGTCTACACAAATGTTAAATTTTCAATAGTAATACTTATCATGAGCGTGCTCTTCTTTTTTACCCGTAAAATATATCTGAAAAGTTCAACGCAAATCAAACGTCTGGAAGGAACAAGTAAATTTCGTTAAATATCAGGGCCACAGCGTGGATTTTTTCAACAAATTGAGCGCAAACTTTTTGGCTAACTGGTCCAAAATTCTTCTATTTTCCCATTTGTGCTGTGTGAAATTTCGATTTGTTGCGTTACAATTTTGAGGTTTTTGACCAATAGCTTCGTAAACTTCCAAGAGCCGCAGCAGTTTTTATTTTGAAAAATGTGTGTTTTAGGTGCAAGCTATCACTATGTGAGGTTTGAGTGCAATCCGATGGAAAAATCCACGCTGCGGCCCTGTTAAATATGTATAGAATTTTAGTTTTCATTTTCACATAACTTGTGTTTCTATTTCGCAGCAAAGTCACCCGTTTTCTCTCACATTTCGGCGACTCTAAGTGGCCTCTCGACAATCAGAGCATTTCAAGCACAGAGTCTTCTGCAAGAAGAATACGAAAACCACCAAGATTTGAATTCGGGCGCGTGGTTTATGTACATAGGTATGGTATCGTATTGATGAGCCCAAGACTTTTTCAAAAAGAAGATTTAAAATTATTCTGCCACTTCACGAAATCTGAAATCTAAGTTGTCTCTTTAACGCTCACACATTACTCATCATATGTGCTCGGATTTTTCGTCATTTCTTTTCATTTGTTAGGAACCTCGTCGGGCTTTGGAATGGCTCTAGATCTCATGGTGTATATTTTTATCGGTTGTGTTATTTACTATTTTGTTTTAATCAAAGAAGGTACGAATTGATCTTTGTTATGTGAAAAAAATAGATTTCAACTAGCGAGATACATTACGTGTGTATTCAATTTTCAGGTGTAACAGGTGATCGAGTCGGATTGGCAATTACACAATCACTCACTCTAACAGGACTGTTGCAATGGGGCGTAAGACAAAGAAAGTATCCAAATATTTGACTGTGATTCCACGGAATAATAATAGCTTAACTTTTTTTCTTGTTCCACTCACTTGATTAGGTGCCGAAGTCACAAACAATTTGATGTCTGTTGAACGAATACTGGAATACGCTGAACTAGAACCTGAGAAGCAGCCTGAAATACCGCAAAATGTTTCAACTGATTGGCCAAAACAGGGAAAAATCGAATTTAAACAAGTCTTCTATCGGTATTCGGATGTAGCGGAACCAGTTTTACGCGGTTTGTCATTCATGGTGAAGCCAAAAGAGAAAGTCAGTGTTGTTGGCAGAACTGGTGCTGGCAAGAGCTCATTGGTAGGAGCTCTATTTCGTTTGGCTCATGTTGATGGGGCCATACTGATCGATGATGTAAACACGGCGTGCATTGATTTGAATGTATTGCGATCGAGGATTTCAATAATACCGCAAGAGCCAACACTTTTTTCTGGCACATTACGGAGGTGAGACCCAACAAGTTTACGTGTTGCGTGAAAAATAATTTTTTTTTCGTGTATGGCAGAAATTTAGACCCGTTTGAAGAGTATACTGACGAAGACATTTGGAATGCCCTGGAAAATGTTGGAATGAAAGAGTTCATTGTTGAAGGGAATTCCGGGCTGGAGATGCCAGTTCTAGCACGTGGACAAAATTTTAGCACAGGTCAAAGACAGATTCTGTGTTTAGCTCGTGCAATTTTAAGAAAAAATCATATCATAATACTCGATGAAGCCACGGCCAACGTGGATCTTCGGTATGTTTCGGCAATGAATTTTCTCCCCAAATTAATTCGCACAAGTTTCATTTCAAATATTGCTCTTTTTTACAGAACGGATGAAATGATCCAACGAACGATTAGAGAAAAGTTTGTTAATTCAACGGTTATAACTGTAGCTCATAGACTGTATACTGTTATTGACTCCAATCGTGTGCTAGTTATGGATGCTGGTGTTGCCGTGGAATTTGACGAACCCTTTATATTACTACAAAATAGAGAAGGCGTATTTCATAAAATGGTTGAAGCCCTGGGACCGCAAGAATATGATCGATTGTTACAAATAGCCAAAGACATATATAAAAACGCAAGGAATTCATAGATTTTCTCCTTCTAGACATATTTTTATTGGACGAACATTTTGTTTACGAATTTCAATTTTTTTTTCTTCTGTGCAACGAATTGATAATGATTTTGTACTGTAAGTTAAGAAACACATCGACCAATTAAAGTAATTTTTTGATGATACAAACAAATAACCTTGTGTTGAATGAGTTTAGATTTCTCATATGATTTATAGTAAAATCAACAACTTTTTAAAGATCATGTGATAAAGCCATTTTTTGCCTATATGAAAAACGGATCTGTTTTTCGCATCTCACAGAGGCGCATGGGTAAAAGAACGCTCGACACTTTCGATCGTATTGGGAATATTTATATATTCATCGCAAGCGAACGCTTCTCATAAAAGAAAGACACAGTGAAGACGCACGCACCGCACCGCACCGCAACACCGATTTCGAATATTTGACATTATGCCTTCCGAACGCAAGACTCAAAACTCAGTCGACGGTAAGCTCTTGTCAAATAAACCGGCGACGTTCCACATGCACTAAATTTTTTTTCGATCGTACTTCATTTTGACATAAAACATCATTGAAAACAAAAAGTAAAGTGGGATAGAAAATCATTAATATTCATCTTGATTCATATTTATATTACTAACTTTTTAGTGCAGTAAATTTTCTTTGTAGAAAGAATACCATTTTTCATTATAAAAAGTATTTTCCTAATCAGAAGTTCCCAGAAAGAATTCAGTTTAAATTGTATGAACATAACTTGATGTAAATATAATTCACAATATTGAGAGTGTTCACGTTTTGGCTGCTTCTACCGGACTGTTAAATCATTCATGATATGGTGAAATTCATTCATAAAAAGTGAACTTTCTTGAAAAATTCCCATTGCAATTATTGTTATGGGAAATAAAACGAAACTTGTGCGCACGAACTGCTATTATGTAGTTTAATTGGGTATAAATGAATTGTACGCCTATTAAAGGCCCCATACTCATATCAAAAATAGCGACGCAAACGAATTTAAACAAATGAAATTGTGGCACGTTCATATATCAAACTATTGAGTTCAATTTGCGTAAATGAGAGTCTGTCTGCAGTCGCAAATAATAAACATAAAAATGCGCTTGAAATAGTTAGCGAACTTGATGAGTTGATGAGCTGATGAGTAACTAAAGTGACAGTGGCAATTAAATTCAATTGTTTGGCGTTATTTCGATAGTAAAAATTATTGGTTTCATTTATTTTCTAGTTTGCAATGTGGTATCGAATAGACAAGTGGTATCATGGTGCTTTTCTTGGAATTTGCATATCGTTAGAACGGAAATCTTAACGTAAATACATGGATGAGTCGTATATTCCGTTGCCTGATTAGCTCAATTTCGTAATTGCCTTGAACCAATTCAGTGTTTTTAATGATTAGTGATAATGATTGAACTATTGGTTGAATTTACGTGAAAGACTCAAATGATGATAATGTCAATTTTTACTGATGAGATCTTAGCAAAATGATATTTAAAGTTTCATCTATAGTATTTTCCAGTGAAAAAATATATCATATATTTGTGAATACCAAAAGTAATAGTTTTTTGTTGATTAGTAATGATGATGCAAGTAATGAAGAAAGAGTGATCTGTTGGCAGAACGAAACCTGTTCGGTTCGTGTGTTTCGGTCATTGAATCATGACAAAACATAAGCTTCTCATAACATGCAATTAAAAAATTAATTACTTAATTAACAATACGGAAGTGTATGTTCTTTGATATCAACAATATATCAAAACTAATTTCAATGACAAAGTCATGTGGCAGCGATTTCTAATGTTTATCAATTACTAGTGCAATTTCTGCTCATTTGATGAAAATGTGGGTAGATCATGTCATGGCATAATTTAAGGAATTTCGATTTTTGAGTATTGACAACTGCCATTTGATCTGGGGCGATTAAAGGTTCAAATATCCGAATACATGATGAAGCTTGGAATATCTAGTCTTAGTTTTAGTATATCAGACCGATGGATTTAATTGCAATTTCCAATACTTGGCAATTAAATCCATCGGTCTGATATACTAAAACTAAGACTAGATATTCCAAGCTTCATCATGTATTCGGATATTTGAACCTTTAATCGCCCCAGATCAAATGGCAGTTGTCAATACTCAAAAATCGAAATTCCTTAAATTATGCCATGGATCATGTTCAAATCCAACCAATATTTCACTCAGACAGTTAAAAATACCGCGTATATTGGCAATTGTTTATTTCAATAAACATACATTCTGACACCAAAAATTTCAGGTAGGGTCAAACCAAAAATTCCTTTGGGGGTCAAAAAAATCAATTCTATCTAATGTAAAATCGGAATCGGGAAAAAAGTGAAGACCCAAAAAAAAGATCCTCACTTCGAATTCTCTCTAGTGTAAAATCATTCTCCAAAAACAATGATGGCCCATCATTGATGGGTCAAATAAATCGATTCTATCTAGTGTTTAATGATCCCTCGAAGGCAAAAGTGAGGAGCAAAAAAAAAGGTCCTCACTTTTGAAAACAAAGTCGGAAAATGACAATGGGTCCGAAAAAAATCGTTGGGGGTCAAATTTCGCCAGCTGGGGTCAGGATCAACGAGATCAGACTATGACAGAATCTATGTCAATAACAAAATATTGATTGAAACAATTTAAAAACATGAAGAAAGCCAAAAATCGAATGTCACATTCTGTTCGACCGATAATAATTGAATGATTTTCCACAGTCTTTCCGTATTATTGCCAGTGAAGTGAATGATAGCTCTGGGAAGCTGGGACTTTTTCTTTAATGTAATAAATTAAAATTATTATCGTCAGGAAGTTCAATGGAAACGTGAATTCTGGACATTCATTCATATATTTGGAACTTGATTCTCTATCAAATGTAATGCGGTACCAAGCGCTTGTTATCAAATTAATTGCGCTCAACTTGAATATGTAATAATAACAACTCATTGTGCCATTAATCGCGTGAAATACTATTTTCATGTTAAATTGCTTAAGCCTTACTTGGAATAGTTTGATAATATGCGACCTGATTAATTATACTATTATCAGAAACCGAACATATTGCGTTCATTGTCAATCCAAAGTGTTTCAAATCATATATCTTATGTTTGTTCTGAATTTAGCGTGGTATATAGATGAAATGGATTCCGGTAGAAAACCAGAAAAGCCAAATCCACGGAAGGGAGCAAATCCATTATCTCAGCTATTTTTCCTATGGGTATTTCCACTGTTCTGGAAAGGTACGAGGAAGGGTTTAAATACCGACGATCTCACACAATGTCTGAAGAAAGATGAATCAGAATCGCTTGGCGACGAGTTGGAAAGGTAAAATAGCTAAATTATTAATACATACTGTAGGAAGCTTATGTTTCTAAGTATACGTATGCCATTGTTTTATATGAGATTCAAATCTGGATGTAATTAAACTTTGGCTCATTTGTGTTGATAAATATGCATTTCTCTACCTGATTTGTTGTGTGATATATTGTGATATTTTTGATTTATATTTTTCATAAACAGAGAGTGGGACAGAGAAGTGGAACGGGCTTCAAAACGCAAACGTAGGCCCCGTTTGCGGAATGCAATTTTTCGAATGTTTGTGCCACATTTTATTGTTGATGGGATTGAATGTCTTACATTCATATTGATAAGGTAAAAATGATTGTTTTTTCAAATTCAATTCGCATCTTAAACCTTTTTTGCACGTTCTAGATCCATTCTACCATTGGTGCTTGCTCAGTTACTTATACAATTCCAAAAACCAATAGTCTCGGAAAATTTGGTTCAAAATAGTACAAATAATTCAATCAATGATACTGTCTCGAATCAATTCAATAGTACAATAATCGAACGAAATATTCGTAATTTAAATGATGACAATCATTTTCATATAATCCATAAACGTTTTGTTGCGCCTGAACATTCAGCGAATGGTATTTTTTTTGTAAATATACTTTTGATGGGTTCTATATATATTTTCAATTTACCATTTACCATTCCAGATATAGCCAAAAACTTAGACAATAATGATCAAACGAATCTGGTAGATGATGTAAAAAATGAATCGATTAAAAACACTTTCCCGGTTGCCAATTCGCAAAGTGAAAAACATGATGAATTTCGACTCAATTTCACGCGTGCCGAATTTTACATATTTTTCAATCACGTTTGGAATGACGTATATTACCTAGCCAATATAGTCATTTGGATGGGATTCGTCGGATTATTGCTATCCCATCATTTCGATTTGCGTTTGCAAATGGTTGGTGCTAGGATGCGGATTGCATGTTGTTCGTTAATGTACCGAAAGGTAAACCAGAAGGATAATTTGGTTTTTCATTTGGAACATGAGTTGTAATAAATGGGTATATGTATACAAAATATATCTTTTAAAAAATGTATTTTCTATTGATAGAGTTTGCGTCTATCCGCCCTATCAGCAAGTCAAACTGGAAGTGGCTATTTGGTGAACTTGATGTCAAACGATGTGAGTCGCTTGGACAGGGGATTTCTGTTTTTCCACTACATTTGGATTTTACCCATACAGGTAGGTGGTTCATCTTCTGTTGTCAACAAAACTAGTTTCAAAATGCTTTCATTTATCTTATATGTTGTTCTTTCAGTCAATATTAATCGGATACTTGATATGGCAACGAGCACGTTGGGCAGCAGTAGTTGGAGTGATTGGATTATTGTTAAAAACGGTTCCGGTGCAAACACGTCTAAGCCATTACACTTCAATGCTACGGATGAAAGTCGCACGTCGTACAGGTACCAAACTCAATTCTCAACACAAAATCTTGGCATGAATGTATAGTACATTGTACACCATTTTAATTTTAAAGATAATCGCGTCGGAATTATGAACGAAATTATTAACGGTATTCAAGTGATCAAAGTAAGTTTAAATACCTTAGTTTGTTTCTATTAGTGAGACGTAAAAGAATGCAAATTTGTCCAACTTTGTAGCAATAAAGAGAAATATGTTTCATTGCAACTAATCTATATATTGTGATATTTATGCGCTAGCCCAAAAAGTTTTGATACCATTTTAACCATTTTATACCGGAACTTTCGAAGAAATATTGTTTGACGATTTCGCATTCAGAAATCAATTCGTTTGCATCAAGACCATTTTCATAGAAGGATGCAATTTTATTCAATTTGTTTAATTTAGTTATAAAACTAAATTTGTCGTTTATTTGAACATAACTTCCCATTCGAGTCTTGTCGTAATGTCGCGAATAGCGAACTATGAAGTCTCATTGCGATTGTGTGGTGTGTATTGCCACTTCGCTGTTGAAAATTTACATGCTCAATGGTGAATATAAAACATGAAGAGTGTTGAACTTTGTACTAATATTTAAGTGAAACGTTTGAAACAGTGTTAAAATTGCAACTGATTTTTAAAAAAAATTCAAAGGGCACCAAAAAAAACTTTGCCTCAGGGCACCACAAAACATTAACTCGGCACTGCCGCACGATGATAACGAATGGGCAAACAATTGTAGAGCGCCGCTACAGAGTGATGACAACACTTAGTTCAAATTTGTTCGCGCTCAAATTCACTCCGTCATTCGTGTTTTGATGTCGTAACAGTGAAACAAATAATAAAAAATAAATTTGAAATAAAATAAAATACAATTTAAATTAAATCCGCACATATTTTACATGTTTTGCTGTCTGTCGTATGATTTCGCAATAATCGGATTCCGGATGGCTAAAAAGTCTCTATTTTTAAGGGTGACTTTTGACCTTGAAGGGGGTCGGTTTTTTGGGGATGACTTGTTCGGCAAAATTGTGTATCTTGACAAGATCTACAACTTTTCCAAAGAAACTTTTCAGAAATGTTCAGTCGTTTAGAAGTTATGGCCACCGGAAAAATTGGGTTTGCCAACTTTGAGCCCCCCCCCCCCTAAAACCACTCCCGGGAAAATCGTAACGAAAAGAAATATTGTTTCGGAGGTTTCGAGGGATGCCCTATCGAACGCATATGATCATTTGTAAAAAATTTATTGAAAATGAGGGACCTTTACTGGTAATTCACATATATGCAAATAGGAAATGCTAATGCTTTGTGAATGTGGAAATGCGTGCAGAACCGGAACGAGAGCGACCTGCGCGCGAAGCGGGTCTGCATATATGTATGTGAATTGGGAATTTTTAAATTTGTCTCAATTTTTTAAAACCAACTTTATTAATTTCTCACAAATTGAATAACAAACTCAGAGAAAAAAATAATACAATGAAAATCTGCTATTTTCAAAACGTAAAATTCACTCACGGAATCAATAACACGTGCCATTCAAATTTTCAACCATTCCATCAATTTAAAAAGGAAGAAGTGTTTATTATTGGTCGATTCATCGCCCACTTGGCGACCCTAGTAATGGTTAAAACACACGATTATAATCAAGAAAGTAGACTCTCTGCAGCGCCGTCAATTAGTAATACCTGTAAATAGCTGAAATTTATTTAGACAAATTGCGAAATACTGCATAATAACACCGATGAGTACTGAATTTTGTCGTCATAAATCGACGGCTCTGCAGAATGTCTTGACACAAATTTTCTATGAAATTATAAGCGTGTGGGTTAAAAGAATGTATGTTCATTTTTAGCGGTCCGTCGCGGTTTTGCACGGTTCCCGCGGAACTGATAAGACATAACAACTTGGTGTCTTCAGCACTCGAGGTCTTCTATAACATTGCTGAAGACAGTTATCTCTTACTCTTATCAGTTCCGCGAAAAGCAAGAAAAATGATAAGAGAAAAGTTCTATACAAAATTTGCTTTTTTATGTGCGCGATTTGCGCGCAACTGATAAGAGATATAAGATAACTCTCTTAAGCAATGTTATAGAAAACCTCGAGTACTATAACTTTGCCGAAGACACCAAATTTTTATCGTTTATCAGTTCTGCGGAAACCGTGACAAACCGCGGAGGCTTAACGGTACGCCAACATACTTTCTTTTAACGCAGATAGGATAAACAGAAAACATTATTTCCCTTTCAAAAATATAAATCGAGAAAAAACATTCATTCTTTTACGTCTCGCGAATAGATTTAACGTTCAAGTAATTGAAATAATATAAATATTTATTAATTGTTTTTGGTAATCGAGATGTACGTTTGGGAGTACCCTTTCCAAAAAGTCGTTTGCGAGGCCCGTCGCCTTGAAATCAAACAAATCCGGTATGCTGCATATATTCGTGGTGTAAATTTAAGCTCGTTCGTATTCATCGAAAGTAAGTTAAGAAATCAATATTTAAATCAAATGAAAAATATCAAATATCAATTTTTTCTTGGATTCTCGTAGGATCGACACTTTTTATTTCAATTGCTACATGCATTCTAACGGGACAAAATATTACAGCTGACATTGTCTTTTCAATGGCACAATATTTCAATATTTTACAAGTATGTTCTTTTTACGATTCAAATTTTCTTAAATTTCTCTTTTACATTTGTCACACTAACTTAGTAAAACATTCCAGTTGAATGCCGCTATTCTCTACCCGTTCGCGCTCTCTTTTGGCGCAGAAGCCCTAGTTTCGTTTGAACGTATTGAAGAATTTTTGCAAAAGGGAGAAAAGAATGAAACTGAATTTGGGCTCGAACGCCGTAGCTCGTTAGTTACAGCTGATACAAAGCGTAAGTTGTAGAAATGTAAAAAAAACATGATTATCCAGTACAACAAAGTATTTCTACCGTTCCGGAATAGACAATGCTGTAGAAATAAATGATGTGAGCGCATCATGGGAAGAGGGGTCAAGTAGACAAACTCTACAACAAATTAACCTGAAGATTAGAAGTGGACACCTTTGTGCGCTTATTGGACCAGTTGGAGCTGGAAAGGTTGAAATATTTCTATTAAATCTATCTATCAAAGATTTTCTAATTCTGCTTTTATTTTATAGAGCTCCTTGATACAATTGCTATTAGGGGAATTGCCTATATCATCGGGGAATGTCCAAATGAATGGGTCGATATCATATGCTGCTCAGAAGCCTTGGCTTTTCTCTGGCACTGTTCGAAACAATATTCTATTTGGGCAATTGTACGACAAAAAACGTTATAATGAGGTATACTCAACAATAGTGACATTCCTTGTACAAAATTATCTAATGAATATTTATATAAATATTTGGTTTTTAGGTTGTGAGATGTTGTGCATTAGCAACTGACTTTGAACAATTGCCGAAGGGTGACAAGACAGTTGTCGGAGAACGAGGCGCTTCTTTATCAGGTGGGCAACGTGCAAGAATCAGTCTAGCTCGAGCAATGTACAAAGCTGCTTCAATTTATGTTTTGGATGATCCACTTAGCGCTGTTGATGCTCACGTTGGAAAGCATCTCTTTGATGAAGTCATCGGTCCCAGAGGCCTTGTACAAAATGTCACACGTATACTTATAACACATCAAGTGCACTTTTTGAAAGAGGCGGACATTATTGTAATTGTTGAAAACGGCCAAATCACTCACAGGCAAGAAACAGAAAATAACTAAAAATGAATTTCATTTTTCGTTCGTTCATCAACTCATTTTCTATCGCACGTTTAATTTTCCACAGTGGAACTTACGCAGAATTGACAAACAGTGATTTGGATTTTGCAAAGTTACTGCAAAAACTCGAGGACGAAGAGAAAGAGGAAGAAACAGCAAATAACAGCTCACAATCTGAAGAGGGTAGCATTTATGAAGATGATGAAATTCCATATATTGATGGCTTTCAACCAAATGGATCACCTTACAGAGCTTTGAAACGACGTACCGATTCAGTGTCCAAGTCATCATGCGCATCACAGGAATTTGGACAAGAACAAATCGATGCTGAAGAACAAGCTGAAGGCAGTGTTCCCTTTCGAGCGTTCACGAAATATTTCCTTGCCGGCACGAATTGTTGTGGCATTTGTGGCATTATTCTGGTCATGATTTTCTCGTTATGCGTAACTAGGTGAAATGTCGATTGTCGAATTACTTATTGAGAAAAAAAGTCGATGTAAACCAACGGTTCTCTTTTAACATCTAGTGGTACAGACTACTTCGTAAACTATTGGACATACCAAGAATACAAACGGTTGCATGGTGAGCAAGTGCCTTTAACTCAGATGGAGTATTTATATATCTATGGATTACTTATAATTGGCCTAATTTTTGTAAGATACTTCATTTTCGTATATTAATTTAATTAAAAAATTCGTAATCATTCTTACCAGTAAAGGTCCCTCATTTTCAATAAATTTTTTACAAATGATCATATGCGTTCGATAGGGCATCCCTCGAAACCTCCGAAACAATATTTCTTTTCGTTGCGATTTTCCCGGGGGTGGTTTTAGGGGGGCTCAAAGTTGGCAACCCCAATTTTTCCGGAGGCCATAACTTCTAAACGACTGACGATCTTGACAAGATCTACAACTTTTCCGAAGACACTATGTGAAAACTTCTACCCCTCTAGAAGTTACATTCTCTGGAAAACCCCCAATTTTCCGATTTTCCCGAATCTTTAACTCCTAAACGACTGAGAATTTTCACATGGTGT